GGGGGGAGGGGTTCGTTAATGTGGGGCGAGGTGGTGGAGAAAGAAGGGGTGATTTGATGGATTAAAAAGTCCCCCACCATCACACAGAGTGTGGGTGGGGGTGGGGGGGATGGAGAGGAAAAGGGAGGGGTGGGGGTGGAGAGAGAGGAGGAGATGAATTGGGAGGCAAATGCAAATTGGGGGGAAAATTAAAAAAAAATAAAAAAGTGAGGGGGGAGGGGGAGGGACAAAAATAAAATATAGGTCAGTACACTGGAATAATGCAGGTAGTTTGGTCAGAGATAATGGCTTGGATCAATGTTCTCTTTAGTCAAAATACAGCAAGTAACCAAAGTAGCCAAAATGTCTTTCACCCTGGACAAGCATGGGGGGGTAAAGGTACATTCATGTCAAAATCATAAGAAAATCAGCAATATGAAAGTCAGAACCATGAGATCAAAAACAACATGCAGCAGGTCGGAAATCTGAAGATCTAACTTTCAGCGAGGGAGGATGCTACTCCAAGAGTGTGAGAAGCTGAGGGGGGGGGGGGGGCTATGTTAAAGAGTCCATGCAGTTCAAATTTTGTTCCGTCGTACAATTTAGCATGCAAGAGTTGATGTGAAGGCCGCCTGGGTAAAACGTGGCGTTCACACAAGTCTGAGAGGCTAAAAGAAAGAGGAAGCGCAGTATCTGAACATCAAGTGTTTAGCTGAGATACTGCCACAGGCTCCTGTATTACACAGTCACTGAGAGAACAGACTGATGGGGGAAAGAGACAGAGACATTAGGCGAGACATATCGGATGCCCTTTAAGTCACAGTAAAAGAAGAAAAGAAAAAAGTCTGAGGAAGAGGGATTAAAGACTGAGGAAGCTTTCAGAGAGGCAGGTATTTGTTCCCAGGTTAGGAAGACCACAGAATGATTTCATATGAGCTTTCATATGAGCTGAGGAGAAGTGAGGAGAGCTTAGAGAGAAAAACAGAAGAGAGACAGTTAGCCGAGTTAGATACAGTTCGACAAGAGAAGGAAGGGCAGAACATCGGAGGGGAAAGAGGGGAGGCGACAGCAAACCCCCTCTCTCTCACAGGGACATAATGAATCTTGACAAAAAGTTTAATAAAATTCAGCAAGGCTCTTGGTATGTAAGGAAAAGCAAAGAAAAAGGTTAGACTGTTTATATATATATTTTAACTTCATATCAAAACTAACTGGAATAACGAGGTCCAGTCAAGCTCTTCTACAGCAGTTTGGATACTCAAGCTTTAATGTCACGTGTCCCCCTCAGTCAGTTCAGAGATCAGTGACCATCAGGACATAAATTAAATTGCACGTCACAGCTCTGAAGTTCAAAATTCAGTAAATACCGGAAAGAAAATGATTTTCTAGAAATATGGACTCTATGGACAGGTGTTCTCCCTCAGACATTATCAGCTTGGCTACAGGAAAACTGAAGTCAAACAAATGGTGCACAACACCACCCTCGCATCCTGAGAAGAGTTCCTAACACAAACATCAACACAGATTCGTCCAAGATCACGGAAGCATGACAGCCTAATACACCAAATAAGGTGATTTAGTTAACGTGATTTGAGTTGTGTCTTCAGGCCAAATTTGTGCAAAACATTTCAAAGTGAACCTTCCTAATGTCTCCTCTATATCAGACACAAGACAATGACAAATAGAAGCACAAGGAGGTCTGGCCACAACCCCAAAAAAGAACAGATGGATGAAGATGGTGGGTAGGGGTTCCATCTGACGGGTGTGTGTGTGTGTACAGGTGTGTTACTGACCTCCTCGTTGAGGTTGCTGACCAGAAGGACCCCACTGGACCCCGCCTGTCCAGCGAGCGCCACCCTGCCTGCAGCAGCAGCAGCAGCCGCCGCAGCGCTCAAAGGGTTCAGGGCTCCTGACAGGAAGTAGACAAAGACAATGGTGGAATGGAGAGCAGCTCTTTCACTACACCGCTAAGCAAGGACGCAACTTGTCTCACGGGACTTAAACTCAGCCAGCTGGTTACAAACCACAACATAATGAACAGGAAGAGAAAGAAAAGTGTGCTCTACCTGGGATCTTACCGAGGAGGGAGTTGGAGTCTTTGCTGAAGGCGGCGGCCACAGTGCAGTCAAGGCTGGGCTGGCCGTCGCCAGCAGGCAGCTCGGGTCGCGTGTAGTCGCGACTCTTGTCGTTGTTGTACTTGACATTTAGGTTGACCAGTTTGGAGAAGTCGATACGCAGCGTGCAGCATGAATTGTAGATGTTCTGGCCATCCAAGGCCTGGCAGGAGAGATAAACAAAATCCATCATATATGTTGAACTATTACATTTGGTTTTGCAAAGCCCCGGCTATCAGAACAGCAGATGAATAATAAAGATGCGTGACATGACTAGTGGGAGCGGCTGGTACCAGTTTGGCCTGCTGTGCATTGACGGGATCGCTGAACTGCAGAAGGGCTTGGAACTGATTGTTCTTGGTGAATGTGATTATCTTCATGACCGTGCCGAACTTGGAGAAAATCTGCAAACAAAATATTTAACACAAACTTAAAACATTCAAGTACAAACGGTGGATATTGTGTCATGTGCCGACTGAGTCGTTTGCCACTGAGTGGGGGGTCAGGGCAGCTGCTGCGTACCTGTTGCAGTACGTCCAGCGTTACGGGGTAAAACATGTTATCGATGATGATCCGCAGCACGGGACTGGAGGCTGCGGCGAGAGCCTCCTGAACGTCGGAGCTTGGCGACCCGCCGGACTGGACAGCTGACACCGCCTGAAGAACCGCCTGGGTCCGCTACGGCCAAACACAAAGTGTCATCACTTCCTTTAACAATGGTGACCCATTTTATTCATTATTGATGCAAACATTGACACTCGTGTCCAGGCTTGCCAAATATGCCCCTATGGTTGTTGGTAATTAGACACAGAGAACATCTTTATATTTATACTTTGTTTTAGCTCAACTTACTTCAGAATATTAAAGTATTAAGAGGACCAAACAAAAAACTCTAGTTCTCAATCTAATGCTGACAAGACACAAGAGCACTAAGAGATTAAATGAACTGCTGTAATGTTTGTTTAAAATGAGCTTTCCAAACAGTGGCCAGATAGTCTGGCTCTACTCACCTGATTGCCGGAATCGGTTTTGAGTTCTTTGTGATTGGAGTACTGGATAAACACAGGGACGTTGCGGATGTGAGGCGTTACAGTGGTGTAGTAGTTGACCATGGTGATGGCTGTCTCCTCCGTCCCCATCTCCAAGAACGCCTGGAACAAGTGACGAGAGAAAACAGATCTCTGATCAGTTCCCCACCACTGTTGCCAAGAAGTAATTCTCTGATCATGTATACATGGGTTCAACTAAACTTGGACAAATCTATGTAAAGTCATTTGATGTATCCTGCAAGTAGCAGACACGTTCAAATAAACATGCCAAACTACATAACATCTATGCCAGAGGGTCACTGCTGCAAAGTGTATCACAGTGAACTGTGGTTTCAGATTGATAAAGATTGAACGACACACTGACATCGGTCCTGTGAGGAGAACAAAGCAGCCAGGAATGACAGGAATCTAGGGGACAGATGCCAAGTGTCCCCTCCAGCCTTCCTCAGCAGAACCACAACAGGCTGAGCCTTTGTATGGCGCTGCAGGCATGCTTCACAAGCAGTTCCAAGATAGCAAGACCCATTCGTTTCCACCACTCACCTGGTTCTTTCCCTTTAGTGTGAGGATATTGGTGACTTTGCCGAAAGGCAAGCCCAGGGCGATGACTTCGGTCTCCGAGGCCTCGTTGGGCAGTTTCCTGATGTGGAGCACGCGAGACGGCGGGGCCTCCTCCACCCTCAACTTTTTACTGTCACTGCCGTTGGAAGCCCCATCTAAAGGTTCAGCACAAGCATTGATTAGCACGACTAAACGACAGCCACTCAAATTTAAAGGACAAGGACGGCGCTACTCTGTATGCAAGAAAAGCCACAATGTCTTTGCAATCCATCTTGAAATCTTTAAACGACCAGGCTGGATCAAAAGACTTTCTCTCAGCCCCATTGGTTCCTACTCAAAAGAGAATTAATTTGAAATAGTCATTACTATATACACCACTAAAGGCTCCGTCATTTCACAAAACTGGCCACTGTAGTTTTCAGCAAGTGTTTCTCAAATGGGAGGAAATGCATCTGCATTTGATGGAGACTATTTTCAGTCCCCAATACGGATTAATACATATTCAGTGCTCTAGTGAGTATTTGGGAAAACAGGACGCTGTGTGTGTGTGTGTGTGTTCATGCTAATGAAACATGTGTGGCTCATTGATGTGTTTTAATAGTTTTTTGACAACAATGGAGGTCTATGACCCAGAGGAAAAAGATCGATCTGGCTTTGCGCACGCACGCACGCACGCACACACACACAATTTGTGGAGGATCAATTCATCAATTTAAAAAATGATGTCACCAGAAGTATTCAAAAGCTCCCCCAAACCTTACATTTCCAGTGCACGTGCTGTTGATCTATAACAAGATCAGGGAATGTACTGTATACTTCAGAACACAGTGTTTCCATGTTAAGTGTTGTACATATGCTTAGTTGGGAATAGTACACCTCCCTTACACAGCTGCTGCTTCATGAGACTGCTGATGGCTAAGGGGCAGCCTGGAGTCTGGATGCGTCTACATCCATCTAAGTACTCCATTGATCAACAGCCCTTTGTCATTTCAGAGCGTTCGGATGCATCTTTCCCCATGTGAATGCATAATGGCGGACACCGACTGCTCACAAAGTTAGGACTGATCGTAGAAGCTCACATGAAGGCATCATCACATGCGTACCATCTCTCAACCAGAATACAGTCGTTTCAGATGGGATAGAGAATACATTACCCCAACTTACAACTCGAAAATGTGATAGAGAAGAAAAAATGTCTCTTACTGCCCAAAAAGGTGCTTCAATCATCAGGGATAGCTAGCGCTTTTTCAGGATTCATTAAAGAGCAACCTGACCTCATCCATGACCGCCTACCTGTCAGCACTTTCAATGCAATCTTAATGTGGTGAAAGTAAACATCCAGACACCGTGATACACAATGTCGTCTTAAGCGATAATAAGAATTAATATGAGATCTGCTGATGGGACCCAGTGTAGTTAAATCAAACTATTGTATTAGTCTGATTACTCTGTATTTGTGTGCATGTAAACACTTTTCTTTCATCTATCATTTTATTTGCAACTGTTAAGTTCTTAATTAAATGAGAAAATACTCATTTGTTATGTATGTAATTTACACAGGAGTACAGGAACAAACAAAGGCTCTACCCCGTGGTTATGTCACATAGACTTTATTTATTCAACTACCAGAAAACATCTAACATAGCTATATCGATGACCTATATTGGGATAGAAGATTTTGGCCGCATCACCCAGCCCTAATTTACACTATTACCTAGTAATCTCTGTTACATGTTCCACTGCTCAAATAAACGACTCTGGTGCTTGGTCTTCTTGAAGTACTGACACTAAATGAATCTAGATGATAAAAGATTGACAGTATGCCGAGCATGCACACAGTAGTCTTTGCCAGTCAAACCACCCTGCTCATGTTAACTGTGAGGGGCCATCTGTTACAGACGCTTCTTCTGAAAGCTAGCATAGCAGCACTGGGAATCCCTGCATCTAAAGAAGCATCCATCCATATCTGTGAGACTGGTAATTCAAGATCACCAATGGCTGACATTGTGAAGCTACCCAAATAAAGGCAGCCTGACCATCTTTATCTCACTTTATTAGACAGGTCCCTGGGGTGACATTAGCTTGGAGGGGGCCGTTGTGCAGCAATGGCAGACTGGGACTTTGATTAAAGACCCCTGCGTGCGCCTTTATTTGGTGGCAGAGTGTTTAATAGCCTAATTTTGTCCATCTTCTCTTTGTGGCACCACAAGCAGCTCTTTCAGTCATCCTTTATTCTGTGATTTTCTTCTGATAAGGTCTAAACAGCGAGGAGGCATTAAATGCAGCGGTGTCCACGATGTCTGTTCTAGTCACGTGTTGTGATGTGTGGGTGCCCACCTACTGAGGAGCGTGATGGTGTTCAGACACTAAACAGCTCCTGTGGGAAACCGGTGTTCCACAGCCCGTTTCACTCTTCCAACACAGATTAATCTTTCATTTCCTTTCATGCCGCCTGCCACTAACGATTGCCTGCAAATTCCATCAAACACCCTCCCCATTAAAGGCTGGTCAGAAACAAACTCACCACTGATACTGCTCACGCCAGAGTTGGGACTGCTGTACATACTCAGCTCGTCTGATCCCCTCTGAGGAAAGAAAGACAGACGGTTAGGTACAGTTGTGAAATAATAGGGGAAACCATTTCCATTTTCAAGACAGGCCCTCAAAGACGACAATGAAGCAGAGGTCTCTGAAGACAGTTTAAAGGAGGGAGGAGGTGGAGAGGGACATAAAACAAGAAGAGTGGTCTGCTCCTCCTCTTCTGGTGTGGGTTTAATCTTGCTGAATTTAAGATGTCAAGATGTGTCATTTCATCCTCAGCTATACGAGGTCCCAGAAGGTTTGCTGGAGCTGACGGGCGCCCTGTGCTCTTAAACCTGACTGATGGGATGAAGAGGGAACCTGGCTGGGGACCCATTACACACACAACTTTATAATAGCTTCACACACCCCTCTTTCTTTCTGTCCGACTAAATTTCAACCAATTGTTCTTTTGTCACCAACATTCTTTATGGTTGCTGTAAACTAGGTGCTGCAGGCCGCCGCTACAGCGGCGTGACACAAATAAATTGATACCGTCAGGCCAAAATGTGAGCACACGGGGCACCGGCTGCAAGAATGCAAGAAATTAGTTCTCTCCCAACAGCTGGCAACCCCCTCGGTTTAGTCTCCGACACTGAAATATTGATGAAATAAACAGGATGACAAAGACCCTCCATATCAGCGGAATAGACATTTTATGAGTGTTCCGTTTCCCTTTGAGAGTGGACTTTAACTTTGTTTTGTGCAGACGGAAATGCAGCAGACAGTCGACAAATCAGGTTAGGTAGCCACAACGACAATGCACTTACACAAGGAAACAGGTTTGTTTGGTGATCAGCAGGGACACGAGCCCTGCCCATTTCATTAAAGCCATTCTAATGCAATGAAAGTTCAAAACATATGTTTTAAAGAAATCAAATTGGTCTTGCGTTAAAATGCAGGTATAATGCTGTAAAAAGAAATGTAACATCTCTTTAGAATTATTTCATGGATGCTTGTTGTGGTACAGAAAGCTTAAATATAAGGCAGAGGGTTTCTAAATGTGCTAAAAATGCTTTAGTCAACCACATCTATGAAACTTCATTAATCATTTAAGTTAGCAAATATGCCAAAAGCGCACTGGTTCATTCGTCTTAAATATGAATGCTGATATTGTTAGTCTTGTATGATCAGACATGCAAACTCCAAGTAGTGACATGATACCAAACTACCAGGTAGGGGGGCAGATTTTCAGCCTTTTGGAGCCTTTAAAGATTATAATACATTGAGAAAACAACATCTCGCTTTGATAAACATAATACGTTTTATTGCATTTTGATTGTTTTAATCACAATCTCTGACAACAGGTAAGATGGGCCACAGGATAAACTGGCACTTCAGTTTAAGTACAAGCATCAAAATACACTCAAAAACTACTCATAATGCAAAATGACCTATTTCAGGATAATATTATATTATAATAAATTAATGTATTAATGTGTTCATTGCTTTAATGTTGCAGCTGGCAAATGTGGTGGTCATCTATCTATTTATACATATTTCATCTTTCTTACTTTATAAACTGCTGGGTTGCTTGTGAATTTGCACCCTATTGACATAGTATCATCATATAGATGATTGTTTTCTGTATTGTTGATCTGAATCGGCAATGTAACTAGGTAACTAAAGCTAACAGATAAATGCATTGAAGTAAAAAGTACAACTCTTTGCATTGAGAAACACCATGAAGTTTGCTAATGCTAGCTCGTTAAGCTAACATTACATAGAAGGAAGCTAGCTTTTAACATTGATCTGTTCTGTCAGGCCACAGGGAATCAAACTTGACTCCAACATGCCACTGACAATCATTCTGTCAGGTTGATACCAGCCTGGGGCATAGACAGATAACGCACAATCCTCATTCCCTCCACACTCACTCATCACCGGCTTTAAATTGCACTTTTAAGATTTATTAAAATGTGTTACACAAGAAGCAAACTCCTTTAGACGAAAGAGAGAGAGCATGCGAGGGCGAGTATGAAGTTGGCAGTAACGTTTCAAGTGTGAACGCAGTCGTGCAGTGTGTGGACACTTTATTTGTTGGTGAATAAATGCTACAACTCCACAAGACCCAAGCCAAGTTCCTGTGTCCTACCAGCCACCTGCTGATTAAAACAAAGGGGGTTAGCCCCGAAGTCAGCGACAACTTCAGCCCAGGCTCACTTTAAGTGGACTGACCCCTCTCATTTTAGCGGCAGGCCACTCACCCCAAAGCTATGTAGGAATATTTGAAAAAAAAAAACAAAAAAAAAACAAAAAAAAAAAACACTAAAGTATCAATACCAAAGGAAAGATTAATGCAGACAATTATAATGTGCATTTTGTTTCATAATGTAGCAAGAGATGACACATGCACTGTCCAAAGTTTGTGTAGTGATCACTAAGCAAAGAACAAACAGAAAACTCACCTTCACTCCAACTGCAACATCACTGATGCTGAAAGAGAAACAATTTTCATTTGGTGAAAAGGTAGAGGTTTAAAATGGAAAACAGCATTTAATAAAAGAATACATGATACCGTCAGATGCACAAGCATTTATGGCTTTTAAAGAAACTTGTTACGATGTCTATTAGGAAGTTTCAATTGTTGGGGGACAATTGTATGTTGTCATACATCACATAAACTGCAGATATGTGTTACAGTAAGTCCCAGAATTGCTCTAAGCCAAAGCCCTTCCACCTACAAGCCCAGCAACACCATCACTCCTACTGCAAGGCTGTTTAGTTTCCAGTCCTTCATTCTGAATATAGAATGCTGCCTGATACCAGTAACGTAACGTGTTAATTCACACTCCCTCCTTAAACACACACACACACACACACACACACACACACATATATATTCCTCCTCACACGTCAACATTATGTGGCTTCATGCTGTTCTAGCCAAATGTATGACTCATAACACTTTGGTTGAAGTAACATTGAAGTCCCGCTTCATGTCCACCCACAGTCTTAAACCGACACACCCGAGCACACTTAATGCAACCTTATACACTTTATAGCAAACACAGTAACGTTAGGCCCACATCACGACAGGAGTAATATAGCCGCTGGGTACCGTCTAACACCGTGCAGCTTCGCGAGATAATAGAGTGTTTGCACATATTGATTTAAGCCGGGACATATATAATATGCATTATCAGACGATTCCACACATGTACTGGACCCGTTCGGTCAGCTAAGCTAGCTGGTTAGCCACAACACAAAGGACCGACGTTACTGTAACGTTACATTAGTTAGCATAACGGGTTGCTTCACTGCACGAGCCGCTTCGTTAACGTTAGCACACTGCTGCAAAAATAACGTTACTATTGCGGGAGAGTACATTTAGCAACTGTGTTAACATGTCCACTTAGAACATCGCCAAGTATTTCTAAATATAAGAAGCAATGCTGCTAATGTAATAAACAGCGGGCGTTAGCATGCTAACATTAGACACTTCCTTAATGGACGAGAGCGCGTGGCTATGGAAACACCTTAACGCAAGCATACGACTCATTATCAGCTTCTACTTAAAATGACACATTCATATACGCAGTACTCTGTAGTACCTCGATAAAAGTCAAATGATATATTACCCTTCCATTTCTGTAGAAATCTGTCAGTGCGTCCGCTTTCGGTCCTGTTTTCTTTCCAGTTTAAACCGACACTGCGCACGCACACATACACACGAGAGTAAAATGGAGGCAAGACGATGCAATTGCGGAAATAGTCGGAAAGTGTCGAATCTACTGAGCGCGCTGTCTTTTGTTACAGCGACCAAAACACACTTCCACGTATATTGAGTGAACATTGAGTAAATGTAACTGGGAGCGTAATGACGATGCTGTAACAACAGAACCTCTTTGTACCTGATCCTCGTTTATTTTTGACAGGGATAGAAAATATGAAAGACCCTTTCAAATATGATAAAAGCCTGCAATAAATTGTCAGAAACAAAAAGGACCGGGCCACTGTTTGTACAAACTTAAATCTCAAGAATAAATAAATAGAATAAAGCATTATTTGAATTAATTATTGGGGTATCATACAATGAAATTGTAACTTTCACAGTCAGTTCATGTGACTTGTAATTATCAGCTACAATAGACACTTTTTTCTCATAAAGTAAATCATGTCCAAACTCCATTACTGGTATTTTGCAGGCTGGCTCACTGTCACACTGTCATGACTCACTAGAAATACTTGAATAGAACAGAGCCACCATTAACGTTGTTGATACCTGTGCTCTTCCAAAATGTCAAAGGGCGTATAACAAATATATGTGCTGAAAATCATTTTGCCTTCACCAACATTCAGATAACATAATCCACAGTACACAATGATGTTATCTTATGGTTCTAGCTGTTAGGAATACAAATGTTCACTAATATGGAAAAACTTAATCACGTCGATTGACCTTTCAACACAAACGCTGGACTAAGAACATCCTTGTAACTTAGAAGAACTAAGTAAGAAAGTGAAAGAAAGATTTAGCATTCATCTCACAGAGATTGTATTACCTTTGAGTATGTCCCTAAAACGTCTGATTTGTTTCATGTTTTACCCTCTGATTGCTGTGATCTACTCAGATTATGCTGCTTGGACATTGCTCTGTGGTGTTATGGCTGTATAAAGGAAACATCTTTAAAATGAATGTAAGTCCAATATTCAGTCTCTTTCAGCTCTGTTTTTGGTCTCCACCAACTCCTGAGGGAAACATCTGTCTCTCTAGCTGCTACATGCACTGCTGTGCTCACCAGCTAGTCTCTAACTGTTTCCGTCTGCTGTTTGCTGCTGAGCGGGTCGAGTACAGTGGCTTTATCGGAGCCTTTCAGCTGAAAAAATCGTAGATCAGTCAGACTGAACCAAAACAGTAAAGTTGCAGACTGAAAAAAACTAAACAATGAAGTGATACAAGACAGAGAGCTCCATAGTGCTGATGGGCTTGGCGGAGTTGGTTACAATTCTCTGTGTGCAAGCGACCACTTTCACATTAGAGTCATTTGATCTCTAATTCTTTTGAAATATAAATATATTGATAAGGGCAACTTTAAAATGTCAGACTGACAGTGGGACGAAAGTGTTCTAAATACAGTATATTAAAGGAACCCTCTACCATAAGATATTCTTATAACATCATGATCACTTCACGACTTTTCTCGTGGACATTTAGAACTTCCTGAAAATGTCTGATTGACATTATAAAAAAGCATTTCCAAGATGTCGGGGAACCACACGCGATGACACCCAGGGATGTTTTTTTTTTAGCTGGGCAGTTAGGGACTCCTTCTGCATGCAAGGGGAAAGGAGAGGGGGGAAAAACGGGGCAGTTTTTGCATAATGATGAATCTTGACAGACATACGTCATGCTCCTGGGCTTCTGACAACGTCACGCCCTGGGTGAAATGAACGCCTAACTGCTTATCTTAAAGGACCTGGGATTTAATTAAAAATGACATTTCCCCAAAGACCTGTGCCTCTGAGGCTGCCACGTTGAAATTAGCTGATGAGGGGCCCTCTGAGCGAAAGGGAAATAAGCAAACTGTCAAACGCTCAGCAAATCACTACCGTTTATCAGTGCTGCTCGCTGCTCAGGAAATAACAGTGGACTGACATCTTGCGTAGCACCCGCCGCACCATGGATACAAGTCAAAAAACATATTGTTATTAAAAAGGAGGTGGGAGGGGGGTAAAAAAAACAAACAAGCCTGTCAAATATGATATTGAAACAAACAATGTGGTGTGGATAAGTAGAGGAATAGGTTGCTGAAATTAGCTCTTCAGTCACCACAGACCTATTTTGCCACTGACAAAAGCATACTTTACGACTTGAAATTTCTGTATTTTCTAATGAGGCCCACTCAAATAGGGAGTCCTCTACAGAATTATACCAAGCAGGCAAAGGGGAAATGAAATGCAACATTGGTACTCTGCGTTCAGGGCCCCTATTTATCAAGCGTCTCAGAATCCCACGGATGGAATCACAAAGGTTTAGCTGAAGGTTAAACTACTAAAACACTCCTACATCAGAGCAGGACCAGAAGTTATTGATAAAGCTTCGACGCTCACTTTCAGTGAGGAGGAAGACGACTGTAAGAGAGGGAGACATCGCTATGTTTACGCTGTCGCTGCAAAGTTGAAATAACGCTGACATTTCATAGTTTTGATAAACAATTGAAAAAAATGTAATTGCAGATGATACGATACTGGCTTTCTGTTAACAATACAAATACTGATCATTTCGGAAATGGAATTAGATTTTTTTTATATAGTTTAAACAAAAAGGTCTTTATTAGTCCACGCTACATTAGGTTTCTGTTTTGCCATTCTCTCACGTTTGATGTGGAAGTGTGCCACTTTACTCCACCGTGTGCTGGGTTCTGATGTCACATTGGTTTCAACGGTCATGTGACACGGACCAGCAAAATGTGTCAGGGCTGTTAAGACACTAAACATTGTACAAAAGTAGTGAAAATGTTTGGACGTGATGCAGCAACCCACGTTTGTATTTATAGAATTTTATTGTTGATATTTTTCAAAGGAATCGATACCAACTAAGTAGCTTGTGAGTAACTAAGTCCTGACCTGCCCAGAGTGTACACGTTTAGTCAATAAAGCTGATTCACATACTGAATGTAGGACAAAAATGATATTGATATAGAATATGATATAGATTACATTAGGCCAGATAGGACCGCTTGATAAATACAGGCCCAGAACCCACAGGCAATATTTGGGCCTTAATGATTGAACTCTTTCATGGGCTTACTGCCAAAAATATAGGTGTGACATCTACATGTACAGACTCTTTTTGCGTGTGTGTCTCTGCCGTAGAGGTATCACATCGAAGGCATCATTAAGAGGAGGATAGTGTCTGGCTCAGTCAGAGGTGATGTCACCAAAGCGTCCCCTACCTGGACGGGGGGCACTGAGAACGGGGCCAGGTTGTCTCCGCGGGGCAGGGTGGAACTAATGTGCTGCTGCAGGAGGCTTAAAGGGGGTTCGTCACCCCCCCTCAATACATCCCTCACCTGTAATCCACCACATTAGTCTTGAGTGTGAGTTGATACGCACGCTGATGCATCCACAGGACGGAAACGCACTCACACACGCAGGCGGGAAGCATGCTACAGCGGAGCTTCCCGAGTAAGACATCATTGCCGATGCACGGCCGGGATTCAGGTTGGTAATTCAGCCCCGCGCGCTTGAAATTGAAACATTTAAACAGAGAACAGTAAAGTCATCAAATGTCATTTGTGTCATGGCAACCGGCAGGGAGATAAAATGTCATCTAGTCTGAGAATGAATATTTCTGCAGGGTCGGAGAACCCATTTATTAAAATCACGGCGCCCGCGCCCCTGTGAGCTAAAGAGACAGTATTCCCCATCATGTTTCACAGTCAACCTCTAGCTTGACATTTTGATTTCACTCATTTTGTCCTTTCCAGTTTTTCTCTCAGAGTGACAGCACGCATGCATGTACGTGTGTGTGTGTGTGTGTGTTTAAGTGTGTCGTAGACTAAAAGCCATCCTAAAAGGCAACACAAAGCGAATGTCAGAAATGTCAGGACGCCAACATGGCCGCTGGTGACATGGGGGATTGGCAGATGTGCCAGGCATCCTTGGAAGAACATGTCCCAACTGCTATTGACGAATTCGCCCGCACGACGTCTGATCTCTTTTCTCTCGCCGCTTCTCAGTGGAGATTTTCAAGCTGACACTTCATGGAGATGGCACCGGGCAGACGGGGAAAATATCGACTCCAAAAAGCTATTCTCAAAGCACATTTTTCCGTGTCTACATGCATTTCAGCGTTCCATCATTCGCAGGCAACAGCTGTAGGACGAATGTCAATGTGATATTATGCAAATTTATTCAGCAAGAATATCACAAACATTCATGGATTGCGGTGCATTGCGGAATGTGAATTTTATGTGCTTTGACACTGTGCTGAATAACTAATGATGTGGGACTGACCTGTTGAATGCCTGCCACACAAAAAAAAACTGCACTAAGCTGCAGAACGAGAGAAGTGAGCAGCAGCAGACTTTCCCACTTTATTTGATCAAACCCGTAACTTACTGTCAAAGCAAACTCATTCATTTTGACAGGGTAGGCAAAAAAGCTTTCAGACCAGTTCTGACTGATGTGGGATTTGTGGAGGGCTGACACAGACACCTATTTTTCTGGGAGCTGAAGCTGCTGATGCTGGATAATTTGTGCCAATATTGTCTTTCCCTAAATTAGATTATTTTCGGAAAAAAAAACATCTAAGGCAGGACTTTGTCCCTTTTCATACATCGGTTGATTGATTTGTGTATTTGAGTGTCCCGCACCAAATGGAGCCCAGCCCAAATGGGCTTCCAAGACTCTGGACAGCAGCCAACAACCAAGACGGCCACATGACCAATCAATACATACAGTTCCACAAATTCAAAATGTACGGTACCTTTCAAAACTTTCAATTTCCTTCAGACAAATAAAAGTCTTGTTGTGTTGGAGAACGGCGAGAAGAGTGTCCGATTTGGGGATATCATAATCGTGTCCCTGCTCTTTGCAGATGATGTGGTTCTGTTGGCTCCATCAGACCGTGACCTCCAGCACGCACTGGAGGGGGTTTGCATCTGAGTGCAAAGCGGTCAAGATGAGGTTCAACTCCTACGAGTCTGAGGCCATGGTTTTTCCGAATGAGA